GACACGGGGCTACAGTTTGACACGGGGCTACAGTGTGACACGGGGCTACAGCGTGACATGGGGCTACAGTGTGACACGGGGCTACAGTGTGACATGGGGCTGCAATGTGACACGGGGCTACAGCGTGACATGGGGCTACAGTGTGACACGGGGCTACAGTGTGACACAGGGCTACACTGTGACACGGGGCTACAGCGTGACATGGGGCTACAGTGCGACACGGGGCTACAGCGCGACACGGGGCTGCAATGTGACACAGGGCTACAATGTGACACGGGGCTACAATGTGACACAGGGCTACAGCGCAACACGGGGCTACAGCGCGACATGGGGCTACAGCGCGACACGGGGCTACAGTGTGACACGGGGCTGCAGCGTGACATGGGGCTGCAATGTGACACGGGGCTACACTGTGACACGGGGCTACAGTGTGACACGGGGCTACAGTGTGACATGGGGCTGCAATGTGACACGGGGCTACAGCGTGACACGGGGCTACAGTGTGACACAGGGCTACAGTGTGACACGGGGCTGCAATGTGACGCAGGGCTACAGCACGACATGGGGCTACAACGCGACATGGGGCTACAATGTGACACGGGCTACAGCGTGACACGGGGCTACAGCACGACACGGGGCTACAATGTGCCATGGGGCTACAACGTGACAATGGGCTACAGCAGGACACGTGGCTACGACATGACACAGGGCTACAATGTGCCACGGGGCTAGAAGGCGCTACAAGGCTACGACGTGCCACGGGGTTACAACATGCCGCAGGGCTACAGCGTGCTATGGGGCCACCACGCTCTATGGGGCCACCACGTGCCATGGGGCCACCACGTGCCCGCGGTGCCCCCAGCCGAGCCACCCCGCACCGCAGGGTCCCGCGCACCGACACCGGTGCTCGAGGGACCCCCCCGCAGCGCAGGGCGCCCGTGTCCCCCCCGGCATGGGGCGGCCCCACGGCGGCGCCTGTCCCCGGCACCGACCCTTAGCCCCGCGGTGTTTACCCGGGCTCGGGGCCGGCGCGGGGGGCGGGAGCTGCAGGGGGGGATAAAAGCGCCCGGAGCCCCCGGAGCGGCACCTGGGGGAGCCGCAGCCCTCAGAGCCCTGCCCAGGTGAGGGGCGCCCGGGGGGGACGGGGCAGGATGGGGCCAGCAGCGCCATGGGGTGGAAGGGGGACACTGGGGACACCGTGGGAGGGGGTCCCCAGGGGGTGCCATGGGGCGAGGGGGCCAAACCCAGGGGGTTCAATGGGGCAGTGGGACAGACCCCAGGGACACCATGGGATAAGGGGACCAAACCCAGAGGTTTCGATGGGGCAGGAGGACGGACCCTTGGGGAGCCATAGGACAAGGGGGGCAAACCCAGGGGGTTCAACGGGGTGGGGTTTGGACCCTGGGGATGCCATGGGGCGAGGAAGACTGGACCGGGGGGTTCAATGGGGAAGGGGGACAGACCCCAGGGACACCACGGGACAAGGGGGGCAAACCCAGGGGGTTCAATGGGGCAGGGGGACAGACCCTAGGGGTGCCATGGGGCAGGGGAGCCAAACCCAGAGGGTTCAATGGGGCAGGGGATGGACCCTGGGGGTGCCATGGGGCAGGGGGGCCAAACGCAGAGGGTTCAATGGGGCGGTGGGACAGACCCTGGGGGTGCCATGGGGCAGGAGGGCCAAACGCAGAGGGTTCAATGGGGCAGGGAATGGACCCTAGGGGAGACACGGGGCAGGGGGGTGCAGGCATGGGGGGCACCCTCCTTGCTGCCCCCCGCGGGACAGGCCCTGACCCCCGGCGCCGCCCGCGGGTCCCCGTCCCCCATTGCACCACAGCCCCCAGCGCCGCCCGCCCGGAGCCACCATGAAGCTGCTGCCGGCGCTGCCG